CCCTACGCAGAAAACCCACCTGACTCGTGCACCGTTTCCTAGTCTAATACATACCTGCTTGAATTCTCCGACCACTGAATTGGTCAAAACTCTCTTCTAGCTTCAGGCTACATCACGTGCTTTCCAACTCTCAGTGTGCTATAAACAACAAGAACTAGGATTATAGCACAGCACATTTCTCTACGAGCCGCAGCATATTAGTTTCAAATATCCGAACATTTAATTATCACGTACTCGCTGCATAGTCACTGTAAATTTTTTACATATTGGTTTCCGGTACCGCCGCTGAATTCTTAAAAACCTAGTATGTTCTAGGCTCCCCTGCTTAGCATGTCATAATTCTCTTCGCGTCGCAGCGCTTTACCTTCTTATAATCTGATGGCTAGTTACCACTTACTCGAAAAATCTTATTTGTGCTTTTGTTACATACCGGCTTCCGACACCATCAGCATACATTTGATCCATCTCGGCTTTCGATTCCACCACTGGTTCTTCCATTATTTTGCCTTTTCCAGGCCTAACCTCCTAGCAGGATTATTTATGTGCGTCGCAGCGTTTAGCTTATAATACTGAAATAGTGAGCGTTGACTGCGTCTAGGAGGATCAAAAGGAATAATTGTATGTGCATATCAATTCACCCTTGTGGAATCGGTGGTACCTTGGCTAATATAAGCTTGTATATTCTACTGCCGCTGCGAGCGATTTTGAACTTCCGTCTCCACCCTACTTGGGCCAAACGTGTTTCAATGCCTTCCGAGATATTTATACCATCAAGGTCTGTCTTTTAAACGTTTCAATACGGTGAGTCTCAAAAACAAAAATATATATTGCTGAAAATCACCTTTTTAGTCACCAGATACCACTTCTCATTGTTCCGCTTATGTATGTCTGTGGCAACAATTCTGCTAATTAAAATTATCACTACAATACATCAATATACTTGTGCTAGTAGTTAACACCAGGGTTATTCTTTATACACTTGGTAATGCTTTTTGACTATAAATAGTGCTAAACGAGAACCGCTAGTGCCTATCAATGTAAGGATTATGTATTAGAATTAATTAAAATGCATTTATTTAATATAAAAAGCATTTCTAATGGTTATTTACACCCTTATAAAATTTTTCATCCCAACGAAAGACGATAATACATCTATTAAAGTTTTAAGCCTCAAATGCTGATTTGGGTTAATGAAACAGAGTTTTGTTCTACCAAGTGGGTCATAGATGTGTTACAAATGAATTGGTCCTATCCTCCATAATGTTTTAATCTGTCCCTTCTCTTTACATATCAGCAATGTCTGTAGTATACATATCCGTATAAGCGCTCTATTTCTACCTTACCAACTCATAAAGATAATAATCCTGTATAAGGTGAAGTCGGGTAAATGCCCAATGCTCTTAAGAAGTGCACCCATATATATTTCCATTGCGATCCGTTTTCCACGTTAGATCGGACCCTCGACAGTTTCCTATTCGCCTCTCCTGCCTCAAATGTAAAATTAGCTGCCGAATGATCAAGTTACTGATAAATGTACCCTCTAACATTTGTTATGATATTTTGCAGCTAAGCATTGTTATCATTTAAATTTGTATAAATCTGTAGGGATATCACAGGCAAATATATAATACATTTAATAGTATGCATTTAAGTAAAATTGTACGTACCACCATGTCACTTTTACCAGCCCATAGCGGACAATACAATTACTTATTTATAGTTGAAGCCACTGCGGTTAAGATGCCATTAGTCGCAACCGTTAAAGGAATTGCCATCAGTAAATTATTATGGTAAGCTAAAGGATTGCTAGAAAAACGGTAGGAATTTTATAAATATTGCTAATGCTGCCATAGGTTAATGCACCTTAAAACTTTTCCTCCATATCACGCACCAAAATCGTTAATCCGTAATCGAAGTAGCCATATCTTCTTTAGAATAAAACATTCCTTTTATTTATTTTCTATGGTAGCCTTAGCATATATTCCTTCTTTTCATTAGAACACTATTCGGTTAAACATACCAGTACTTAAATATCGTTTTTAATATTTGCATTACCACTGAGACCTGAGCATAAGAGTGCTTGATTTCAATATATGTTTCCTTACTTAACTAAAGACATGCTTTCCATCTTTAGCATCCAAATATTGCTGTCCTATTTATTATCCATTATAAACCTCAAACTTATTAATTTTGCTCAGGCCAATATCGGCGTTGTTACTCTATCACCTTGCCTTGTCTGCCCAGGCACTCGCCATATGACATGATTCAGACCACTATCACCTCTATACTGAATGTTGATTTGACACCGAGAAGCGTCTATCCTTCCTTAACGTTTCGTTCCCGTTTTCTTTATTTCTAATTACGCAGCGGCTAAGTTAATTACATGTTATTAGATAGCTATTCAGGTATCCGTAGAGATAGTTAGAATTTACTTAACAAATGTTGCTGGCTAATGTCACCCTTGCGTCCTCGTCCTCCACTAAAATATTCCATTTATCATTCACAATAGCGCACGCATCATCATCAATCGAATCCATGTGATTTATTAGATTTTTGAATTAAACATCCATTGAAAATTTCCAATTGTTTATAAACAAAACCTGTCAGTACCCGACTCATGTCTCGCCTGTCTCTTCCCCACAATTTCAAAACAAATGACATTTCGACTTCGGAGGCTCTATCCCATCGAATAGCTTCTGTTTTGTAACATTACATGCTTCTCCACCCATATACTCAACAGATCAATTCGCATTAATCAGTATCACTGCAATCATGCTTAACAATTTCCTTTTGTTTGACAGCTACCAGACAAGTTGCATCAGTGCCTAAATTGTGCAATTCGACTGGTAACGTACACTTGACCTCTGATGACAAAAGTGGCTTTCCTGCATCCAAACTGACATGCATTTTTGTTACCCCACCTGAGTATCTGTGTATCGAAATGCGCTTGCACTGTACTATTGTAGTCTTCAGTGACGCGCCATTGGCAAAATATCATCAGTGCATTTGTTCTTAATTTGTGATGGAACGCTCTTCACACTCAAGGAAGCTGTATTTGACTGACAGTGTTTTGTTAAAGTACCGCATTATGCAATGATACCTTCTAAGCATATTGTTTACCGATTATGGATATTAACAGTTCGTGACAGATATGTTACCGTAAGTGACCAAAGCGACTGTCCTTCACTCCATTACACGCATAGGTAAGATTACATTTCTTAAGCGATAGCATTCACTTCACCACATGCGACGACATTTTCCACCGCTAGACATTTGTGTTAGAAATCAGCAACGATTTAAGTGTGCCGGTATAATTATCCTTGCTAGCCAGGTTATTTACTTCGTAAATATGACATAAAGCTCTCTGGGAACCAAAAAGAAGCATTCCACGGCTATACTTTACTTACCTGCTTTACTAACTTACTTAACTACATGTTACGCAAAACAATGTAATAGGTTGGCCCATATATTTCCCGCACAAAACCGTAGTGTAATATGGCTACAAATTTTGCCCCTTTATCGAAATATTACAAAATTTACACAACTCGATAACGAAGATGTTAACATTGCGCTGACTGCTTAACATTTGTACTTAAGCTTTCCGGGCCGCAAGCATGAAACAAATCAAAAGTGTATTTGTTAAACTTCGGACCGTACTATATGGTAACTTTCTCGGCATTTCGAGAACAAGCCTTTATTTGTTTGTTTATTTAATGCAATCGCTTGCAATAACAGCAGCAATAGATTTGCCATATTTAGCAGTTTAAATCATTAACCCAATATAGAAAGAAGAACAGCATGCCTGCAAGTCTTAGCAACCGCGGCTACATTAATATTTTAAATTATTTTCTAGGTTAGTCACGTATTATTAGCGTCTAAAATGTAAAGCCTTTCGGCCAACTGAAGAGCAATAACACGTTTGTCCAGGGTCAGCTGAAGTGAAACTAGCTCATATTTGTCAATTTAGAAATATGTGCAAATGCAAAAGCATGACACTAATGTTTGTGCATTTGAATGTGCTCATTGCATTATTGCACCATGTAAAGAAGTTCCAATCATTTGACTCATCATTTTTGTAATATTTAACATTGTTTCCATATAAATATTGGGAATCGAGAAAGGAGACGTACCGCTGCTTAATCAAAGCCTCGAAAACGCCAAATCAATCATGTAATGAATACATTCGCTTTGTTAAATATCTAGAGAAGTGTTTAGACTTCAGTGATTGCAAAATATGTTGCAAGAATTGGTGATTCTGCGCTGAAGCATATTTCACGCTTAGCAAACCAGAACTTTGTGCCTTTTTCTAAGTTGTTGCATTGAAGGACTTGGACAATACACAGCAGTTTGTTTCATTAGTATGAAAAGTTTACCCAGGTAAATCAACTTAGGCACTTCAAAATGGAATCTAGGGAATATTCCTCTCTCAACTATATTGCATAATGTAGTGCATCGATGAATTGTGCACCTGCCCGATGCTGTCCAGTGATGCGTAGGGGAAATAAACCCTATACAAATAGGATGCAAATAATTCACTAATATTAAAGTGATTCTGAAGTTTGTGTTTGTAAATAAAGAGTGTATTTCGAGCTTTGACTAATTTTTAATCAAATTTCAAAGCAAATAAGATCGATCCGACACATTAATTGATAATAATGCAAAATACCAACAAGTAAATTTCTTTAAGTTAATGGAAAATTACACTTAAATAATATCTGAAATATTCTGCATTAACGCGTTTATATCGTCCAGCGCCCTAAATTCACTACATTAATTCCATGTTGTCAGCAACCCATCAGTAAATAAAAGCGCAGAGGGGGCCACTAAGCCGGAAGAAGTTAACTAACTCCGAAATCATCGTAAGACCGCTGGAATATCACGCTCAGCACTTTAATTTGCGTCAGTATTACATGAAAAAGAATTGGATAATAATACGTTGGACAATAATACGTTTATTCAGTTGAATGAAGTTCAGTTTAATAAAAGATTATATCGGTCAACTACAACCAAGATTTGTTTCGTCTGAAGTTTTGAAAATATCGTCTTTGATTAAGCAGAGCTTGCCGTGTGTATTGTGCTTCTCGACAATAAACCATTGGCTCCAGCATATCTACGTAACACGAGTTTAAATCGTACAGACACACTGGGCATTTCCGACATTTCTCTTCTTTCTGCGCCACTGTATGTTCTTTTTCTAGCAACGTCGTTTAAAAGAATGTATCGTCAAATAACATTATGCATGGCAAATATTTCTGCAAACTATAGAACAATTACTTCACTTTAACTACAGAAAAGTATACTAACGAACCCGTTGTATTACTTGGTGTTTAATATTGACTATAATACGCAATGTTTCTCTCTTTATAATAAGCAACATAAAACTAAATCTGCCAAAAGGTGGTTACTATCATGAATTGCTCAAATTAAGAATTGTTGAGTTAACTTCAATAACTAAATGCACATATGTACAGCCAGCAGATCAGATATATATACCAAGATGTGCAAGAAAAAACGTTTGGCGATAAGAACACTCCGAATTTCGTAAATTTTATGCTTGTAACCTTCTAATGGATGCCCGGCAATTTTCAGACAAAATGCCTTAGTAAATAGTCGTCCATCTAGGCAAGGACTTAGCTAATAAGTAATATTAATAGTAACAATAATAAGTAATGCTAGGTAATAGTATTAAGAATAACTAATCATAATAGGTAATAATACTATCGATAAAAATCATAGATGAAACGTAAGAATGCAAAGTAATAATAAAAAGTAATATTAATTGAGCGAGATGCTGCTTGCAAACGTGACATCGATCATGTATTTTTAGGTTGTACCATGTTCGTGAATAATTAGTGTGCATGTGTGGCGAATAAAAAGCAATGGTATAGCACTGACCTGTGCAAAATACGGTCTATATACATGTTAACCTCCTTGATGAACGGCGAGATCTCAGAAGAGATGTTTTGTTTTTCGACTTTTCGGAAGCATTTTACAAGCCGCACGATACTACTGTTACAATTGAGATGCATTTTAACTCATGACTTTTTGATACCAAAACTTACACTCACTGACTATTTGAACGCAAGTGAGCAAGAGATAAAACGTCTTATACCCATAAGCATGTTTTGATCACATTGGTTATTTAAGATGTATAAGCAAATTAAAGCTATGAAAAAATTGTGCAAGAATTCATAAGTTAAATAAATATCAAAGGAATGGTTGCACACAGCATATTGATTAATAGTATACATCATTTGTTAACAGTGCATTTTGGAGTTTACTTATCAGTTTCTTGTAGTTCAAAGTGAAAAATATCGCCTTCCAACCATGTGCAAACACGAGTATTTTAATTACCTAAAGACATACAAGAATATTGTTGTTACACGGTTAAAAATGCATAAGTTAAAGTCCGTATCAATCTCAAATATTAATTCATTGTATTTAGTCGGAAAACGTTATCATTTATAATAAAGTGTTATAAAGCACTAGTGCAAATGTCATGCAGAAAAGAACCGTCCAATTTAAATAAATATCAAAAGCTGCAGTCAGAATCAATGTCACAATTACCAACGCAGTATCTGCCTATTTATTTATTTACAAACTGCTACTTAGCGCTTAACTTTAAGTGACTTACATGAATGTAACTAAGTTATCTTGATGCTATCAAGATGGCCGACATGAAATCGAAGAGTAGGTTATGAAATGAACGATAGTGTCGCTAGCTTCTTACCAAGGTTGCACAGTACAGCAGATTTCTCTAGACATGCAACTTTTATTTCGGATACTTTTTCTGAGCAGTCATCTAAACCAGCGACTTCCAGATAATTGCAAACCAGATGAAAGGTCAGTAGCAGATATACTAGCTAGCAAGAAAGATAGAGTTAGTAAATTTACTAGAATAACGTACCCAGTTCATGACTTAAGGCGTAAATGGTTTTCAGCAGTTAACCGAGTAGGATTGACGAAGATCCTGAACATTTACGAATAATAAGTTATATACATAAGAATGTGCCAACCAACGCGTCTCTAATATGTCGCTATTCTTGACTGGCCTAAATTACATTGGCCTGTATACCAAGTCCTTAAATGCATGAGGTAATGACATATAATGTTAAGACACACCTAAGTTGAACAGAGTAGGTCGTAACAATCAGTGCTACTTAAAAATCATTTAAATGACGCCTAGATATATATCAAGTGTTAAATGGAATGAAAATGTTGCAAGCATACGGTATTATAGTCAACAGAACGTTGCTCACTTGGGAAGCATTTAATATCGACTGTGAGGCTGGATGTAGCTACTAAAGCAGATAAATATTAATTAAGCACTGGCCACTGAATTAAGGCAACCTTGTAATGGTAGGTGATATTTATGTGCGTCTGTTGATATTTGTTGCGAAGTAAACGTTCAAACCTTCAAATTTTTGTGTTTTCCTTTGCACAATTTGCGATATCTATATTCGCCTTGACACTAAGAAAACTTAACACTGAGCGCTGCTGCGCTCTAGCCTAATACGTACTGCCATATGTAGCAGTTCACTCATTGCCTAAATCTTTCCATTCCGCAACTCCACCACTAAGTAACCTTCCTTTACATTCTTCTATCAAGGTAACATGACGTAGCTGGTCTGCGCGGTGTTGCAGTCTAGCTACGAACCTACCGATTTTCAATTATCCTTTCTTTACCGCAAAGTATTTGACACTTTGCTTTATACAGTGGTTCAGCGCTAAGAAAGCATTTCGTTAGCTTAGTCTACGCTAGGTATGTTCCGGCACGCTAGAAAGACTTAATGCTCTGCACCAAGCTGCGGTTTTGCCTCAGATGCCAAAACTTTTCAAATATTCAACAGTTTGTTTACATGGTATTATGCTACTACATTTACATTAATAACATTTCTTTATGCTAATAAATTCAGCTAACATACATCAGTTGGTTAGTGCGCTGCTGTTGTTCATTTTCACATATCAAAATTTTCAAGTATCGCTTATTCGCTGCAATACCGCAATAATTTGCAGTCCAATTCCATCCCCGGATTTCCTAGCTCAAATAGCCTTAGTCCATTTCTCTAAGCACAATAGGAATAAATAATTATCTGCGCACCGCTGCTATTTGGCCTTATGTGCGCTGACTTATACATGGGTATTCCGTGTGGTAACCCACAGCCACTCCACCAAGTTTTCATGTTAATTACCCTCTTTAAGTCTTTATTAGCAAATTAGCGGTACTCAATTTGTCTGCCCGCCGTTGTGCTTTAGCCTCACACGCACTGATGTGCACTTGTCCCATAGTTCCTGCAACGCGTTTGACGCCAGATACCCAAACAATATCTTATCGACTCAAAGCCTTTTTCCTTTTTATGTATCGCTCATATCCATGATTCCGCACGATGGTTTCCTTTTTGAAAGTGCACTGTCATTTGCAGATATCTGTTTGTGAATACCTACCCTTCTTCTGCATAGGACGAAGTAACCTTAACTAACGATTAGTACGGTTGCTTGCATAACCAAGAATAAACGACAATTACAGCGGATGAATTTTTGTGCATTTCACATTAGCTTTGCATAAGTCATAATAATAATTTTATTGTCTTATCATATTGATTGGTTCCGACATTGTTTTCTTTGTGCTCTGTGCATCATTTTCTCCATGATGTGAAACTATCCGCCTGCAAATACCAAACAGTTCCTGGCTCATACACTTGTATACAAACATAACAACGAAAGTGGAAACTGTATTGCGCAAACTGGCCTTAACCTGCACACAAGACTACCCCGACAAAAGCCCAGTTTCTATTATAGGTCAGGCTCATGTACTATAGATACATCAGAAATCGAGTGAGACCACCTTATTCATAATTTCCTAGACATTCATTAGCAATGTGACCAGACCACTTTACAAAAACTACAGACGCCCTAATCAAAGGCTCCACTCTAACTGCTATATCAAGAATCAAATCATTCTACAGATGCAAACTTCCACGCCACTATGACACAAGACGAATGTGGACAGCCTGATAATAAGTCGTCACATAACAGAGAAGCATACCGTGCACCAAACTTCAAACCACTATTGACTGGGAATTATAACTTACAATTGCAATTATTCACCAGATTCTACCCGATCACATTTTATCTTCGACAAAACTATAACAAATAATCTCATACACTACCTAAGTGATTCGTTCAACTAACGGAAATAGTTGGGAGCAACTGGACTACAAATATTGGAGCGGATAATTATTCGGTAAGAAGCATTGCCAGTCAAAAACTAAAACCCAAGGTAATTTCATATTTGCCAATTCCATCACCATTTCACTTCATACGATTCTACTTTTGATCTCAGGACTGCACACGCAAGAATCATGCATATGACCTTTCATCTTTGTTGCGGCTGTTGTTAATATACACTGGTCCATGTACTCACAAAACCCGGTTACGATACACTGGCTTTCGCCGATCAAACGGTTTGCTCCATAGCCCCTCACCTTCGTACAGAGGTCAACCACTGATCCTATTACAATGTGCTTTCCTTAGCAACTGTTCAATTTCCATACTTTCCTACCCTTGTCTTCTGGTTTAAACTTTCACTCACTCATTTGTTTCTCTCCAACTTAATCTTTGTTTCAATCCCTAAGTCTGTTATCGCCGTGCTCATGACAGTGTACTAATTTGCACGCATGCTATGCGAGTATCAGACCACCCGTTGACCATAGACTACTGTCTTGTATGTGTGTGCCTGATGTTCAATAATAAAATTTGCTTGTTTTGTGATTGGGCCAAGGGGATTTTCCAGTAACTTGCCATAAAATTTTACGCCTACACGGTCCATTTACTTATCCGCTGGCAGTCTACGTTGTACTCTATACTTGTCAACACCCATAATCTTCACTCGTTTATTTCATTGTTGTTGACGGCGATAAACCGGGACCCAGAAGAATTGAGGTTTGCTCAACTGTATGTATGTTGTGATCTAAACTTGTTTTGATTGGAGAAACATTCGGCCGCGTGTCATTCCATTGTTCAACCAGTGAACGTTACAGCATGCGATTTAGTGATTACTCAGTCACAATTAAATTCAGTTTTCCTAGATTTGTTTAAAGATTTGCAATGTCAAGTACCTGAGCGATAAAGTCTGCGGACGGGGTAAACCAATTGAAGCAAGTCTACCTTGATGCTGTTTTTCACTCTGGTTATCATGAGAGCAGTAAGACCCTTATTAGCAAAGCGCACTCACGCCAACTGTTAGCGGAGTTGGAACAGAAGCAGATGATAGCGGATTTCGCAAAGTTATACAGCTCTAGCTCATGCAACGCCGATTACTGACGGACGCAAGTCAAGCGTTGGAGATGGCCAAGCATATTTCTGCATCAACGAAATACGGAGTGAAAACGTATCTTGTCGTAACGTAACTAGGAACAACTGCCACTGAACGCTAGCTGCATTACCGAATGCTTACCTGCTGCCAAGAAGGACTTATCGTCATTGACAGATGTTGTGGTTGCTGCCGTAGCAGCAGCAGTAGTGTCATCTGCGGTACAGCCGCTCCGTCTGGAAAAACAGTTTCTTAGTGTGCCATTGACAAGCGCTCCTCCGCATGTCAGTAATGAAATAGGCAATTGTACTCATCTTATTGATATAAGTTTCAAAGGCTTGGAGGTAACACAAGTAACATTGTTGTTCGGAATGTATGTATTTGAAAGCCACCGGGTATTTGTGCAGAGACTTGGAGGTGAGAAACGACCATATGGAGTCACGACTTTAATCGGTTTCGTTTTAGCAAGTCCAATCGGATCGCAAATGCCAATTGTGGCTACTAAAATTTGTCCAAAGCCAGGTAAAGAATCTTTGGCTGAACGCATCAAAATGATACACAACACCGAGTTCGCAGACTTTAGATAATACAAGCGGTCACCGTCCGTTTAGGATAATGAGATTCTGGTTCAAGTTGGAAAGGAGACGTGTATGGATGGTTGTCACTATACGATTGCACCACTTTAGAGCGCTCTTGGTGACTTTGTGCCATACAACGGAGCGTTAGCCATAAATAGAATATCGTTTCTAAAGCAACCTTTAGCTGGCGATCATAGTTTTCTTTGAACTTCGTTACAGCCTTGACGAAAATTCTTGCCGAAGGGTACGCAAACAAATTCCCTACAATATGCAAGCGAAGACTAGTTTACATCTGTTATGTCTAAGGCATTATGCTGTAACCAATCCCAGAAAATCAGACAAGCTAAGGGTTTTCCTAAATTGTGTAGCCAAATTCCAATATGTTGTTGAATGTTAAATGGTACCAAGGATCCGACGTCACTGCCGAAAGGTCCAGGGATCTCCAAACGTTTGTAATTATTCAGTAGCCTTGGCAGCCACTTCTGAATCCTACTTATTTGACTCGCTTTGATTAGTGTTACCTTTGATTCTACCAACCAAGATGTCTTTTCAAGAGTTGTGCAAATCAACATTGGTTGTGACGGCTCTTAGGGATTGCAGAAGAAAAGGCATGGCCGATAGGATAATAGTTTTTGGTCAAATCCCTATTCTACGTTGCATAAAGAAAGGACCTTATAATGATGTAAAGGACGCGCAAGTGCATGTGTTTATTGACGCTTCGAAAACTGGATACGCAGCGTGGAATATGTAAGGGTGTTTCCGATGCTTGAACAGCGTATGTTCTGAGGTGTAAAAAACAAAATTGCCGCAGCTGTTGCTCTATTTTTATCTTCCCACTATCATTCCAGTTGAAAGGCACTCAATTAATCGTAAATGCGCATCCGACGGTGAGGAATACCAACGGGCTACTGAAGCAGTTTTCTGAATATATTCGCTTGACTAGGGCCGTTGTATGGCTTTTGAGTTCTAAAGTTCGGCTACTTAGACTTTGCGCTAGTTCCACTAAAGCACTGCAAAGTGGATCTG